GTCCAGAAAAACACCTTTGGAAGCAATTATTTTCATATTGGATGCAAGCTAATTTATTGAAAGGTTCTAATATTAAGATTAGAACTTTTATTTCTCTTTATGTACTCTATATGGCATGTAATGAAGTCACATTTTTCCTTATTTCATTAAGCAACTAAAATGAAACTCTATGAGCTAACTTTTTGCTAACTATTGTTTTTATCCTCTTAGAGTTTAAGGTTATTGAATAACAAGCTAGTATCTTCAAACAGTAACTGGAAGTAGGTTTTATATACCTTTATGCCCTATTAGGAAAATGAAAGGAGAACAGCAAGTGTTAACAACCTGCTATAACTTGCAATGTAAAAAGAATGACCTAATCACTGAGGAATGTTACATAGTTAAAAAAAAATTGTCTCTCACTTCAACTTTTTTTAATACCTTCAGAACTGCTTTCCTGAGAAACAATAAACCACCTAATCTAAAATATTTCTCTGAGTAATTCTTCTGTTGCAATACACACAAACATTATGTATCTTTCTTTAAAAGCATGCTTTATCTCCATTCTCCCTATTATCCCTTGGAGAATAGGGAGAATGGAGAAGTATCACAAATATTTTACCCTACCTAGGTGTGCCTTAGATGTCCCACTATATAGTGATATATAATACTTTGATTATGTGCCATAAAGTTAGTGCCAGCTCTTAGCGACCTCATAGATTTCTCCATGATGACTTGACCCTAATCTGGCCTTTCTTGTCTTTTAATGGTGCACCTATCACCACTATAACCAAATCCATCCATTTTGCTGCTCATCATCATCATCTTTTTCTTTCTACCTTTCCTGGCATTATAGCTTTGTCCAAAAGCTTGGTCTTTTCATAATGTGTCCAAGTAGGATAATTTGACTCTGGTCATTTGTGCCTTGAGTGAGAATTCTGGGTTGATTTGTTTGGTGATCCACCAGACTATTGCCTGGTTCACACACAATTCTAAGCAAACTACATGTTGGTTTAGCATTGTGAATTAACCAGGCCATAGTTACTGAACTTGCTGAAGCTACTGCTAAGGAATGGGGTGCCAAAATGAAGAGTGGGATTTTATCCTGAGTAAAACTGTGGATAAGGACTCATTATTTTTCTTCTGTCCTGCCTATCAAACTTAATAGGCTGTTTAGTATAAACACACATAAACTCTGTCTCTTTTAGGATTCTACCACCTTATAACATGGGAAGAAAAATGCCATTTTAGGGCAGAGCAAAGCCTTTGCATGTGAAAGATTCTAGGTTTATTCTGTTCTGTGGCATCTCTGGAGTTAGCTGAGCTTTCCTGAGATCTTCACAGCTGGCAAACAAAATGAGTTTGATAAATGGTAGTTTAAACTTTCTATAATTGTTATATAGGTCTTTACTTACAACCAAATAAATGCTTGACATTTAGTTCTGTAGGTGATGGTAAAGTGCTACATGTAGGAAGTACAATGATTGGGATGCAACTATTTGTAATATTGGGCAGTTTATTCTGGAAGGTTTGTTATGGAGAATATGCAGGTCCTCTGATCATAGATGCTTGTAATGTACCTCGTTGTGAACACATGTTCTATGCTATATCACAATCCATGGGAATATTTAGAAAAAGGTAAATATAATTAGTTAATTTGGATAATTGACCATTTAGGCCACCAATGTTTAAATTTCTGCTTGGCATGCTTGTTTGGTATCTGTCACGGTTGAAAGTTGCATGTTTGGAAAGGACAGGCATATTTCCAAACTCTTTCAGATGTCATTTTCTGTGGTTTGAACAATAGATGTTTCCTTTATGACAGAAAGAATTAATATTGTAGTTACACTGCAAATAGCACTATATCCTGGAGTCTTTCTGCAAATGTTTGGATTCATACTGTGTTTGATCTATGAATTGTTAAACTCAACTGTAAAGATAAGCCATCAAGCAGTTTGTTGCCTACTATAATGCTAAATTAAATTGAGAAGAATCTCTTTGCTCTCCTGTATAATTTTAGTATATAATATAAATAATAATTGCAATACATATTAAATTAAAAATAGAACAATACACAAATTAGAAACTGATCTAACCCCCCAAAGTTTTTTTAGAGCTATTTAAGTATCTTAGGAATGATAAAAAAATTAAAAGTGGAAAATAGTAGAATATATTGATACAACTATTTAAAAAGCTTATGTGTTTTAATGTAAGGATCATCCATTTAATATAACAATATCTAGACAAGCTAGGAGCGGGAATTTTTAAGGCTGCATGCATGAACACATCACAAATGATCTAAAATAAATGTGTTGTGTGAACTGAAACTGTAATGAGCCAAAGTTCGAAGAATTGAAAAGGAAATGAAGCAAAAGAATCTGTAATATTAATTAGCAAAGAGAAGCAGATGTTTTGAAATGTTATAGCTCTCTACATAAGCAAATAAAGTGATAATACGCTAATGAAATAATAATATACCATACATTCTTGTTTTATGACCATGCATAACTGCTGCTTAGAAAAACAGTTCAGATTAGCTTGAAAGGATATGAAATATTTGAATAGTATCTGTTCATCTAATTATCAAATGATAATGAAGGTTCCCAATAGAATCTTCCTGGAGAAAACATTCTAAAAATTGGGAAACTATGCTAAAATGTTGTTTAGCTAGTAGCTTCCGATCACAATTCAGACGACGGCTTTTTTTGTGTGTGTCTATGTGTCTGCTGAGAATAGGCTCAGATAATGATCTTAGACTAACCACACATAGAGATCTTTTTTTTGGTACACCAGACCAGAAATATCATCACTGTGTGTGTCTTAATACACAGGTAGGTTTCATAGTATCCATGATCCACATGAGCCAACATGTGGCTTTAAGTTATTGTAAGCTTGTTTTCCAAACACATGAAAACACTTGAAACTGGGACTTACAACTTCCTGATGGCTTCTTCACTGACTTTGGGGATAATCTAAAACTCCCTTAAACAGAAGGAAAAGGGTTAATCCAAAAGAAATGTTATTTGCTGGGTTTTGGTAGATAAAAAAGAGTACAGGGAAATCACTAGCCGGGACAGAGTAAAGTGTTATAGCCAAAATAATATAACTGAACCAGAGCTGGTAATTAAATAAAAGGGGAGAATTATTATTATTTATTTAGAGTGAAATGATTAGCAGAAGGCAAGGATGCTAAATTTTCAAATTTTAAGACGGTGATTACATGTTTTGCTTGAAAACAAAATGAAACATTAATTTGAAATGTTGGTTTTAAGTTCCATTAGAAAAACCTCCATGAGGATTGAGGTCTATCACTTTTAAACGTCTTCTTGGAAATTATTGAAAAAAAGAGTAACATGAAATACTGCAGCTTTAAACACATGCTTTATTAAAATTTTCCTGTTTTGTTAAGAAATTTTCATTGGCCTTCATAACTATTGAAATATATGTATGGAGTCTGGGCAATTGAAGAATAGTTATTACATAATCAGATAAAGTACTATCCGATAATAAGCACCAAAACTTGACAAAATAAAGTACTACAGAGTAGCATGCATTGAAATGTTAATGTATAGCTTAATAATAAATTGTGATGAATACAATAAATGTCAATTGGATTTAGGAGAAGATCGTTGCCAAATACCTACATAAGGCCTTGGTGCAACTTTGTGTTGTGCACCACTTGCGCCCAACTTTGTGTTGTGTACCACTTGTGCCCTAAGTCATCTCTTGGTTGGATTACTGCAACACAGTCTATGTGAGGCTACGCTTGAAGAGTATTTGGAAGCTACAGCTGATGCAGGATGTAATAGTGTGCACAACATGAGGAGAGCTCTTATTGCTGGAGGTGGTTCACAGGGTAAGAAGACTGTCTTACACTTGGGGGGGGTTGTATAATTTTAAAATGTTAATCTGCATAGTTTTAATGTTTTAATTACTTTTCTATTTATCTTTTTATGATGTATAAATTACCCAGAGTCGCTGTATAGGGGAGATGGGTGGCACAAAAATTTATTTAATTAATTAATTAATTAATAAATAAATAAATAAATAAATAAATAAATAAATAAATAAATAAATAAATAAATAAATAAATAAATAAATAAATAAATAAATAAATAAATAAATAAATAGTGTATGTTTTTAAAAATTAATATGATTAGAGCATTGGCTTGCAATAAATTGGGACCAGAATTTCTGTTGCTAAGCAAGGCACTTGTTAAATGAGTTGTGCCCAACTTTATGACTTTTTTTGCCATAATTATTAAGCAAATCACGGCAGTTGATCACATGGTTGGTCCCAAAACATCTGGAGCACCACTTGAAGACCATCAGCATTGAGAAAATCACCACCAGTCAATTGCAAAAGGCAGCTTTACTGGAACAACTTATATCCAGGATACCTTTAATTCATTGAACAACATCTGCTACCCCAGATAGGTGGATAAAAGTGTCAAATCCAATTTAAACATCTGGTTGACTTTACAACCGACTGTACTAATAAAGTTAGCTTTTTCTCATCTGCTGCCCTCTGGGTATGTTGGATTACAATACCCAGAATTTAAGATGCCAGTGGGAAAAGAATGCTAATTAATGTAAGAAATACTAGAAGAAGAAGAGATAGTGCTCTAACTTGGTATGGCAAATCTGTTTTTTAAATCTTATACTCTTAGCAATTCTACTCACAATGTACAGTATATATTAGATCCCAGGAGGAAGTAGGACAATCTTTGATTGATTGGTGATTAGTTATTTATCCTTACACAGAGATAGGAATAAAATCATCTTAAGTGATTAGAAATGGTAGTCAATAATTACTTTTAAAAGGCTGGCACTTCACATACTCATTTTAGTTTTTTACAATGGAAAACAGAATTTCCTTTTTCCTTTGGAACTTAATAGGTTATTACTGCAGGTATTTCCTTGTAGTTTGATAATTGTCTGCTGGTGATAAATATTGCATCATACTACTGGGTGTGTCTTTTGTGCAAATAGCTTCCTGATAGAAGAACTGCTGGTTTTTCAGGTTAATGGATAGAGTAACCAGTGTCAGTACCCTGTAAAGTTGCTTAGAAGGAACGTTTCAGCTATGGGTATGGTAAGGCTTGATTGATCAGAATGCCATTTACATGATTATTCTCATTTAAAACCATATACATTCATAGACTCCTGTAATTGTGTATTTCCCTTTTTTAAGCATAAAAATAACATAAGAATAAGAAATGAGGTTTGATTAGGCCATTTATTTAACATAGTAGCTGCTGCTTTAACTTCCTGTTGGAGCAATGAATAAAACTGGGATGCTCCAAAGTTATAAATTTCTGTGACTTCCGCTTGAAATATAGCATAAGAAATCATTTCACTCTGTAAAACCTTCAAAGATTTATTCTAGAATGATGTAATTGAATAATACTTTTTCCCTTTGCTTTGCTTTTTAAAGTAACTTTATAATCTCAACAGATCAGACTGAAGTGTGTGCTATCATATTGGGATGCTAGGTTACTGTGCTGCTCTTGCTAGATCTTGCTAGATCTTGCTAGGAATAAAATAAGGGAAATTTCTGTGTCAGTTGTTAGATATAATGATTTACTCAAAGCCTGTAGATCTACCTTCCTTATTGCTTAAATTTGAGCAGAAATGAGCCCCATTCTGTTTCTGAAAAATCAGTTCTGTATTTGATGAAAGTGCTGCTATTAGACTTTTCAGGAATAAAATACAGGTGGTCCTTGACTTATGACTGTTCGTTCCGTGACCGTTCAAAATGACAAAGGTGCTGAATGAAGGGACTTATGGCCGATGCTCAGACTTAGGATTGTCGCAGCAGCTCCATGGTTACCTAATTGAAATCTGGACTCTTTGCAACCTGTTTGCACTGATGATGGATTGCCAAGACTTCCGTGATCATGTGGTCGCCACTTGCGACCTCCCCTGGTGGCTTCTTCAGAAAGTCAACAGGGAAGCCAGCAGGGAAAATCACGAGCCGCTTTGTCTCTCTGGGCAGTGTGCCCCCTCCCCTCCTCGCCAAGGGAGGCAGGGCAGCAAGGCACTGCCCAGAGAAATAAAGCTGGAACAGCTGTGCTTCTCCCCATAGTGTACTGCCTCCTGTCCCCAACCCATTTATGAAAGTTATGAAAAAAATTACAAAAATGGTCTTGCAACTTTTAGGTTGAAACTCTGCAAAATTACTTTCTTTGGAAAGATCTACCATGCCTACTACTTTCATCCAATGCTGCCAACCCACATACATGCACAAAAACTGCAGAGGTTTGGATGCTTTTCCTTCTTCTGTCAGATCAAATTTTGAGTCTTGTGGCCTTTAAATTTTAAACATGGGTAGTCCTCAAATTAGAACAGTTCATTTAGTGGCTGTTCAAAGTCACAACGGATTTATGACTGGTTTTCACACTTAACGACTGTTGCAGCATCCCCATGGTCACATGATCAAAATTCGGATGCTTGGCAACTGTTTCATATTTATGGCACTTGCAATGTGCTGCGGTCACGTGATCAGATTTTACAACCTTTTGACAAGCAAAGTCACTTAACAACCATGTTACTAACTTAATGACTGCAGTAATACACCTAAGAACTGTGGCACGAAAGGTTGTAAAATGGGGCAAAACTCACTTAACAAATGTTTCATTTAGCAACACAAATTTTGGGCTCAATTGTTTTTTTTTTTTGTGTTTTTTTTCAATATAAAATTTAATTGTTTTTATCATAAAAAAAAAAGAAATACATCACAGATATTACACAATGTTATAACCCATCCCCCCACCCCCCGGACTTCCCAAACCAACCTAGGCTAATATTCAAATACAAGTAAACAAATATTAATATCTCTAACTCCAAAGTCTAAACTTAAACAATCCATCTCCTCCGTATTAATAAAAATTATTCATTTAGT